CGAGGCAGGAAGTAAAGGCAGGGCAACAAGAATTCTGGGAAGAGGAAAGATTCAGTCTGCAGTCATTATCCAGACACAGGGGAAGCAAGATGTGACGGCCTCGTCGAGAAAGGTACGAAGCCACATGGATAACACAGACAAGAATTATGGGCTAATGTTAGTTATAAGAGTTAATAAGAAGCCTGAGATACCAAGCCAATCAGTTTATAATTATGGTAGACCTCTGTGTGATTTCTTTGGGACTTAACAACTGCCAGAACTGGGCAGGACAGAAACCTCAGTCACCAAAGAAGAGCTATGCTGTACACAGGGCAACAGGACCAACCATTCTGCCACTGTCCTCTATAAATGCTCTTAACCAAGCAGATTAAGCCATTGGTGACGTTGCTCACGCTGATGTATCCTGGCTGATTTTTCCCTTACGTGCTCTCTCTGTTATTGAGAGAAGGCTTTTTAAGTTGGTGACTGTCATTTTGCTTTTGTTTCTAATTTAACTTTTTATTCTTTGTGAATTTCACATCATGCATCTCGATTCCATTCACCTCCCTATCCTTCACATCTGCCCTTTGCCCTTGTGACACCTGCCCCAAGATAAAACAAAATAAAATTTAAAAGATAAGAAAAAAAGAAAAAGAAACCTCTTATCACAGAAGCTGTACTGTCACAGTGAGTCACATGATGTACCATTTAGCACATTCATCGTGACTAGCAAGTGTTCACTGCAGTGAGTCGTTGGTCTAGTTCAGAGCCTCTGGTTTCTGCTACACTATTGATGCTTGGCCTTCACAGGATATACTGTTGTTTCCCTGTGTCATAGAGATCCTGCAGCTTTGGGTCTACAGGACCAGTATCTTCACGTGCTCCAGCAGATCATAGATGGAGTAGGTGCTGGAGTGAGCCCGCTCAAAGCTCTGGTTCTGGGCCTGGGTGGCTGCTGGGTTGGCCAGTCCACCAGCTCTCCCTCATCCTCACCAGCCGGGTAACCTCTCCAACACTGCCCTGGCTAGCTCACTCAAGGCAATAAGCAGCAAGTGAGGCTACTGCTCCTGCTCTCACGCCCTTAGGGATGGCTCACACACACCTACACCAGCAGGGCCAGCTCTACTGTGTTGTCCAGATGAGGTGCAGGCCGCTCTCCTGAGCACTGTATCTGGTGAGAAGCAGGGACTCTCCTGACCTCAGGACCAGCTCCTCCACCTGCCACAGGCAGCCAGGAGTGGATCAGGGAAGGCACCTCTCCCTTGCCCCTGCTAAGGTATGACAGATGAGGGGCAGGACCCACTCAGTTGGTGGGGGTCTGGGTCAACTCTCCTGCCTGTCTCAGGAGATGAAGGACAAGGGGCGAGCATGCATTTCATTTTGAATATGTTTATTTTATTTACATACTCAGGAGAGCAGCCTGCACCTCGTCTGGACAACACAGTAGAGCTGGCCCTGCTGGTGTAGGTGTGGGTGAGCCATCCCTAAGGGCGTGAGAGCAGGAGCAGTAGCCTCACTTGCTGCTTATTGCCTTGGGTGAGCTAGCCAGGGCAGTTTATGTTATTCCTTGCAATTCTGTTAGGTTTTGCTTCATGTTTAAATCTCTGTTATTGGGTACACATATGTTTACTGTTATTATATTCTCTTAGGATTAATTGACTCCTATACTATTATAAAATGACTTTCTTTAATCCTGGATGGTATTCCTTGCTTTGAAATCTACATGTGATTCCTTGTGATTCGGGTTAACACGGTGTATTGCACTGCCTTGGGTTTTGTTCATTTGTTTGTTTGTTTTTTTTCTACCTGACCTAGAGTCCTCAGAGAAGAGAAAACTCAATTGAAAGAATGCCCCCGTCATGTTGACCTGTTGGGTACATTTTCTTGACTAATGACTGATGTGGGAAGGCCCAGTCTATTGTGGGTGATGACAACCCTGGGCAGATGACCTTGACTTGTAAAAGAAAGAGGCTGATCAAGCCATGAGGAGCAAGCCTGTCAGCAGCACCCTTCATGGCTTCTGCTTCCTTGAGTTCATTCCCCGACCTCCTTCTGTGATGGACGGTTACCTGAAGTGTAAGCTGAATACGCCCTTCCAGAGCTCTCCAAGTCGCGTTTGCAATGGGATCTCTTAGACATGAGTGATTTTTCTTTTACTTTTGCTTCCTACACCTGTGTTTCTCCTAAGCAGCATAGAGTTGGATCTCATTATTTGATCCAATTTGACAACTTCTTCCTTTAATTTCTGGTACTTGGACTATTTAGATTTTATGTGACTGTTGTATCGTATTGTTGTTTTTTATTTTTCTCATTTTGCCTACCCCCCCCCACACGTGTTTTCTGTTCTCTTGTGAATTAATTGAGCACTTTTATGACTCGACTTCATCCTTCTAATTAGCCTGTTAAACTGTACTATATTATTTTTAGCCATTACTTTAGGGTTTATATGTTTTTAAACCTATAACAGCCTAAATAATAGCATATTAGTTCACAAATAATCCAGGCTCATTGCAGCGATGTAATCTCATTGTCCACCCCTAGCCTTAACACTGCAGTGTTGACAGAAGTTTCTGTCCTGCCCAGTCCCAAAGAATCACACAGAGGTCTACATTAATTATAAACTGGTTGGTCTAGTAGCTCAGGATTCCTATTAACTCTTTCTTACACCTTAAATTAGCTCTTTATTCTTGTCTATCTATATTAGCCACATGGCTTGGTACTTTTTATCAGTGAGGCATTCTCATCTTGCTTCCTCTGTGACGACTACAAACTGAGCCTTTCCTCTTCCCAGAATTCTCCTGTTCTGGTCACCCCACCTATACTACCTGCCTGGCTACTGGCTAATCAGTGTTTATTAAAATACAAGTAACAAATCTTTACAGGGTAGAAGACCATTGTCCCACAGCAACTACTCATACCCATAAATAAATTTTACAGAGAAACTGAGCACTTTTGTTGCTCGTCTTTGCTGTGTGTGAACTGTCTTTTCTCCACTGTCTACTTTTGAGATGTTTCTCTGGTGACATGGTTTTGAACATCTTAATTTTGAGGAACCTCAGGGTATGTTACTTTTCCCATATCTTGTATTTCGTGAGGTTCATTGGATTGATTGGGTCTTGGTTTATAGTTTTAAGTTTGTAAAACTTTTAGAATTGTTTCTTCAATTTTTTTTCTAATTTTTTGCCTTTTCTCCTCTTTTTAAGGAATCCCAGCTTCTTGCATACTGGGCCACACAAGACTGCTCCTAGTGCATGAGTTCTCTCTTTATGCTTTGGACTGTGCTTTGCTTACTTTGATTGTCCCTACTACTACACATTCAGGTCGCATGGTAATTTTCCTCTAAAATATTCAGTCTTCTCTTACAGTCTATGGTGTAGACCTCCCTGCCCCCAGGGTGTCATTGTTTTCGTCTCTCAGAGTTCACTCTGGGTCTCTCTAACTCGTGTATCTCCCGAGCTTTTGCCAATAACAGTAAATCTCTGGCATGTCTCACACCTGTGCCAGCTCAAGGTCTGCCTTGATTGATTAGTTATCCCCTGTATTATTGTCACGTTTGTCTGCCTCTTCTGCGTGCCCAGCTACCTTTGACCCGTTGCCAGGCATTACAAATTTTACCTTACTGGGACCAAATATTTCCTTATTCTTATTAATCTTGGGTTTCTTGGGAACAACGGGATCTTCTCGATGATTTGTTAGGCGGGTCTGGCATGGTTCTCAGTGCTCTACCTAATGTCCCATGAATTACAACCTTTTCCAGCAGAGCTGGAGGGAATCGGCATTTGTCTTGTCTTATGTGGGTGCTCTAATATTTTCTGTGACACATACATGTGTAGATTAATAGTCCTGGTATGTGAGGAAGTGTGTGTGCGTATGTGTGTGTGCGTATGTGTGTGCACTAAACATGCACACACAATTTGACAAATAAAAGCAGAAATACCTGCAGTGGAAATTTGGGTGGCAGAAGCAATAAAGAGGCTCCCAAATATTAGCTGTTTCATCACAATTCTTGGAATTAAAGGTAGCTTTCTATTATTATTATTATTATTATTATTATGTTGTTGTTGTTGTTGTTGTTGTTGTTGTTGTTGTTGTTGTTAATGTTGTTATTGTAGTTTCTAAACTGTCTAAATGAAAAGCAGGGACTACTTTCATTCAGGAAAACAGTGCTGTTAAAATTGTATTTAAGAGCACATTTTAATCTCACATCCCAGGGTGTTGGTCTGGTTTGCCTTGAGGTTCAGAAAAGACAGACCTTTCCAAAGGCTTAAAGCCTGTTAGGTGAAAATGGAGTCGGGGTTGTTTAATAAAGTGGCTGAGATCATGATATCCAGTCACGCTGTTGAGGCCCCTCTCCTGAACTTCCTTCTCTGAGGCCACCGAACCTGTTCTGGCAACAGAGAGATTAGTGCCTCCTGCCTTTTTCCCACCAGCACGTGGTCCTGCCTTGATTGGCTGTGCCAGAGGGTGATTCACACATTACCTCACTGTCAAAATGAGAAAGGAAACAAACTTTGCTCACACCGAGGGACCCAGGGCCAAACTGCAGAAACGGAGTCAGGCAGGTGTGAGCTGAATGAAGCCACCTCTAGATGCCAGCTGCTGCTTGTTCTACAGTTGGTCTTTCGTTGGGGCTGGGTGGGGGAGCAGCTACTGTACATGTTCTTTTGAATGGTGGAATAATTTGGAGATAGATATTGTTTTCCAAGTGAAGCCATTCTTTTCTGAAATTTATGAGAGAACAAACTGAACCCTCTTCACTTTCTTTTATTAGGCAAACCATTTACATTTTATTATGGAAATGAAGTTCACAAACAAGATTACTTCATTAAGTCGCCACCCCCTCAGCTTTTCTTCAAGGCAGTAAGTAATTGCTGTAGTTTAACCAGCCTCTCACCAGCCTCCCACCAGCCTCAGGAGCAGTTGAGAAAAGTCCCTGCTCATCTTCTGAGGTTTAGCTAAACAGCAGAACCTTCTCGTTTTCAGACCTCCTGGAAAAGGCGGTTTTTCATCCTGTCCCAGAACAGGGAAAGGGGCCTGAACCTCTCCTATTACAAAGACCATCAACACCGAGGCTCCATCGAAATCGATCGGTGTGTATCCAAACCAGGAAAACTGAATAGCAACAATGTGCCCAAGTCAAACGCTAAACAAGCTGCCCAGAAACTTGAACCTGAATATCTAACAAAAAGAAGCCAGGGCTTCAGACCTGCCATAGGTTTTGTGTCTCTAAAAAACCGACATAACAAACGGCATAGGTAAAAGTGAAATAGCTGCTTCACACTCTGTGTCATAGGCGGTAAATCTCTAATTCCTGATCCTTCGATTGAGGACTTTGTCTCACTTAATTTTTTGCTGAGAAAGAGCTCCTTAAATTCAATTTCATAGAGCCAAAGTGGACTTTAAGAAATATTTAGATAAACTATTCTTTGTCTTTTCTTCAGAAATCACGTACCAGAAATATTGGAAAATATAGTGATTTGTGGACTCAGGAATCCAACCCAAATGGAAACTTCTGAATTGAAATTCCAGTTGAGCAGAGTGTTTTCAATTACTGATGAGCAGATCCAGAGTTGTTTTCTAAAATAGAAAGAATTCAAATGAGATTTATGATGTGAACTAGACAGTCTTTAAAATGTGGGTCAATGAAACCGTCAGTTTCATTCCTAATTTAAAATAGGGATCTGTTTTTATCTTAAATTGCTCTCTGTATCAGCCTGGTTCCTTTGTGTCTGTAGAAGCACCGTCGTAGATGTTGGTATAAATAGCCCGGAAAAGATGCAGTCTGTGCAGAAGATGTTCAAATGCCACCCGGATGAAGTGATGTCCATCAGAACCGCAAATAGGGACTACTTCCTCATTGGCCGTGACAGGTGAGGGCATGATGAGAGCGTGTCTGCTGAGTGTGAAATTAAAGCATTATAAATCATTATAAATCTATAGATGATGAACAGGCTGAGAACGGAAACCAGGCTGTCAGTGCAAAGCAGCAGTCTTCAGTGTTCTAAAATGGTTTTGTGTGTGTGCACATCTGAGTGTGAGTGCACATTAATGTGGCTGCGTATGTGAGTGTGTGTACATGCCTGTGCATGTGTGTGTGCACATCTGAGTGTGAGTGCACATAAGTGTGGCTGTGTATGTGAGTGTGTGTGTACATGCCTGTGCATGTGTGTGTGCACATCTGAGTGTGAGTGCTATAACTGTGGCTGTGTATGTGAGTGTGTGTGTACATGCCTATGCATGAGTGTGGCTGCATATGTTGAGTGTGTTATACATGCCTATGCATGTGTGGCTGCACATGTGTGCATACATATATGTACGGCTGTAGATGTAAGTATGTGTGCACATGTATGTGTATGACTGAACATCTGAGTGTGTGTGTACATGTGTTTGACTGCACATGTGATTGTATGTGTGCATATGCATGTGGCTACACATCTGAGTATATGTGCACGTGTATGTGCATAGGTGTGTGGGTGCACATGGGAGTATGTGTGGACATGTGAGTGTGTATGCATGTGTGGACTGCATGTGTGAGTGTGTATTAATGTGTGTGTGCAATGTCTATGGCTGCACAACTGAGTGTGTGTACATGTGTGTGGTTGCATATTTGAATGTATATATGTATGTGCATGTGTGTGGCTGTACATGTGAGGGTGTATACATGTGTTGATTGCACATGTGAGGGTGTGTGCACATATGTAGTTACACATGTTAGTGTGTGTGTATGTATGCATATGTCCATGGCTGCACATCTGAGTGTGTGCACATGTGTATGGTTACATATTTGAGTGTTTACACGTGTGTGTGTGTGTACATGTGAGTGTGTGTGCGTGTGTGTGTGGACATGGAGGCCAGAGGACAACCTTGCCCGTCACTCCTCGGCAGCTGTCTACTTTGGTTTTTGGCACAGAGCCCCTCACTGGATTGAGTTAGGCTAGGCTGACTGGCCAGAAAGCTGCCGGGATCTGCCTGTCTCTGCTCCGCAGCTGGTGTTGCAGGCACTCCACCGTGCCTGGCTTTTCTGTAGGGATTAAATTCATATCCTCATGGTTGCGTGGCAAGTGCTAACTAAGCTTCCTCCTTGACTTTTAAAGTAGTTTTCAGAATCATTCTGCTAGCTGCCTATGCATGTTATAACTGTGGTATAAACAACAGGTTCCTAACCTCACTGTTCCAAAGGCTGGGAGTCAGAATGAGGAGCAGACATGGCCTCTCCCGTGAAGCACTGTGGACGGAAGGCTCTTTTCATCCCTCTCTCGCGGAACTGCTGCTGGTCCCTTGGCTACAGCAGCCAAACCATAGCTTTTACAAGGTGTTCCCCATATGCACACATCTCTGGGTCAAACTTCTCCTTTATCCCCCCTGCAGATAGCAGTCTCACTAGCGTAGGAGGTATCTCTACAGTATGACCTCAACCTAACCAACTATTTCTGCAAGTAGTCCCTTTCTGCACAAGGTAACAGCTGAGGGCTGGGAGCCGGAAAGACTTCGTACATGAGGAGAGGGTCACAAAGCAAGCCATGACAGTCGCTATCGCTCAGATGCCTTCTGTGAAAACCTATGAGCTACAGGAAGGGACTGCTCACCCTCAAGGCATCTGCGGCTTTTAAGAGCAGCTCCTGTGGAATCTCCTGCCCACTTATCTATTGGAGAGAGGTTAGAGAGGTTACAGCGCGGGAGGAGGCAAGGCTGAAGTCGAGCGTGAAGCCTTCGCGTGTTTCCAGTTGACCCAAAGCTGCAGTTTTCTTTTGAATTGCCACCCAAGACAGCAGAAAAGAAGATGGGGGATGTGTCAATCTGCGCAGACGCACTTGCCTCGTTCACTTTTCTGTCTGCTGTGATGAAACACTGACTCCTGGGGACAGGATTTGCTTGGCTTACACGTCCTGATTACAGACCATTGAGGGAGGTCAGAGGAGGAACTTAAGGCAGGGACCTGGAGGAGGAACCGGTGCAGAGGCCCGGGAGTGTGTTGTACTGCTCACTGACTTGCTCGCTATGGCTTGCTTAGCCTATTTTCTTAGAGCACCCAGGCCCATCTGCCCAGGGGCGACACAGCCCACAGTAGACCAGGCCCCACTACACTGATATTTAATCAAGAGAATACCCCCACAGACCTGCCTACAAGTCAACCTGATAGAGGAATTTCTTCAGTTGAGTTTTCCTCTTTCTAGATGACCTGTATTTATGTCAAGTAGACAAAGAATGAACCAATACAATACTCTTCCTAAAAATGCGTTTCCTGAGTGGGGGGGACAACCAGAGGATATGCAATTGGGGCTGACAGGCAGAACACCTGGGAAAGCAGAAGCCCTGTGCCCCATGTTCCTGCTGCTGTTTCTGAGTTTCCGTACTGGAGGAGTCATGAGGGTTAATTCAACTGTGCAGATGCAGAGACAGCGAGGGAACAGTGGGCCAGGCTACTGCCTGGGGAAAGAGTTCTGTTCTGTAGGCAGCTGATCCCAAAGCTGCTCCGAGTGCAAAGAATCTGCTGGGTCCAGAACGCATGTGGGAGAGGTTGCTACCAATGTCATCTGAAACTCTCTTCCTGCCCTCAGGGAGACGATCAAAGACTGGGTCTCCTTCATGTCACCGTATTGCCAAGGTGCGCACGCAGCTCATCAGAACACAGAGGTAACTCGACATCGCTAATGATGGCATTCAGGGCACCCTAGCACTGCCTTCTTTCCTTAGAAACAACAGCGGCCCTTTCTTTCCCCTTAGCAACTGGTGCTAATACAAAGAATAAATGAGCGAGGACACGCATGCCCTTGCTACTTTCACAATTAACAAAAGGAAAAATACTTCTGTGTTTTGTAAGAGAGCTAAATTATATTGTCATTGTTGCAGCAGGGAGAGTGAGAGCTAATGGTGGCAATTTTCATAGCAGCGTGCAGTATACTATTTTCCACCACTGTGATTTTAGTACATAGCCAGTTTCCCTTTGAATGGCTAAGTCTAGGGAGGCGTCTCAAACATTGCTTCCACCTGCCCGCATTTTAATATAATGTCTCTTGTGTCAGGTAAGCAACTGAAGGTTGTAATTGGCTTCATAAGGAGCTTTGTAAATTTCTCCCGGTCCTTTTTTAGAGCCTGCCACAGAAGGATCTTGGGTGTAACTACATTTATGGGTATATTTTCCATGTTGTTCCATGCTGACAGCATACGCCCAAGAGAAGGAGAGATCAAGGCATGTCTCCCAGTAGATTCGATGATAAGAGAAGAAACGACAGGGCGTGAAGGGAGACATGATGGGGGGGGGAGAGGCTTGGGGGGCACTCGGGGCACCTGTTAAAGTTAGGCTAGGTGTCTCTGGGGACTTGTTTTAGTGGTACGGCCATGGCTAGGCCAGGCTGGGTGTCCTTGGGGACTTGGGAGCAGGAGAAAGTGTCATTGATAAGGCTGATCCTTCTCTTTGTATTATGACGCTGGCCACTGGGCAGTGCAGCCGTCAAAGCCCTGGGGACCCTGGAGAAGGGACGCCCAGGTGGTAGTGGAGGGATGACAGTAACAGGAGGGCGATTGCACTCTAACTGCGAAACGACTTTTGTCTAAGCAGGAGAAGCCTTCGCTGGGTGAAAGAAGACCAGTTTCCGACCCCAGTCCTTTCTTTGGTCTCTGTAGTGCTCCGGAGAATGTCGGCCTAGCATTGCCGAGGGCCAGTCTTCCAGACATGGTAATCCAAACCTCCTCCTACTGTGTCAGGACGCTGCAGCTGGAGCGGCCATTGCTGAATAGAACCACTGGCTAGCAGCAGGCATTGACCTCGCCCATCGTTCTTCCTGGAGGAGATAGCTGAGGAGACAGGTCCCTCAGAGCGGTGTTTGCTATGTAAACACAAGGGCCGGCTTTGACTCCCCAGAACTGGTGTGGCAGCACACATCATAGCTCTAGTAGGGAGGAGGCAGGAGCAGGTGCATTCTTGGGGTTCTCTGACCTGTCAGCTTAGCCGGCTTGGTGAGTTCCAGGCCAGTGGGGAAAAACAAACAAACAAAAAGCATACACACACACATACACACACACACACACACACACACACACACACAGAGAGAGAGAGAGAGAGAGAGAGAGAGAGAGAGAGAGAATGATTTCTGATCTTAATATTTATTCATACTTGCTCATTTCCCATTCTATAGGTAGGCTTTAACGCTTGCCTAGCTGACTCTAAAGATTTTAGTTCTGTTTTGAAAATCTTGACAGATGGCAGTTCCTTCCCTAAGTGTGGCCAGCAACCTCCCCTCCTTCCACACACAGGGCACAAAGTCCCCCAGTACCCTGTGATCTCCTGTTGTGCTGTCCACACCCTCAGGCAAGGTGGAGTTCCCTTGGCTCACCCCAGCGGTCTAACTTCTCATTCTGGGGGTCAGATCCTCTTCACTCCGAATGCAATATGTTTGAGGAAGTCAGATAGCATGCCTGCCCCCTGAAGGTCACAGAATTGTGCCCTCACATCTCTGGGTTTGTTGTGTATCTAGATTTGGCTATTCTCAGTAAACAGGCTGGGCAGTTTATTTCCCTGAAATCTCTTATTTCATCCCTTAGAGACACCCCACTGGCTCCTTTCCCTCTGTGGGTATCAAGCACAGGCAAGGCTTCTCATTCTATCTAGCTGGCAGCTCTCCAACATTTTAAAAGCTTTTCCGGCATATCAACACCACCAGGCCAAACGCTTCATCTCAGCCGTGAGGAAAACCAGTGGCCTGAAACAAGGCAGGCAGACTGACCTTGAACAAAACTCCCACTCGGAGGAACCCTTCCCCACAGAGGAGCCTTGTTGGCAGCTTTTACCTTTTCCCATTATTTATTCAGATCAAGTAATACTGTTTTTTTTTTCAACCATCTCAAGTGAAAGACAACCACGTGTCTTGCTGGATTTGTTATTGATGTTGTTGGTCCATCAGGAACCCTTCTCTCCTAACTCAGCCTAATCCCGCTCCCGAGTGCATCTTCAGCATCCATAACAGAACACTGCGGTACTCTAGGAGTTTCCAAACAGCAATAACAATTGGTTTCCCCAGCTCTGACAGTTGTGAGATTCAGGATCAAGAGAGGGATCTCATCTGGTAGGGGCCTTCTTGCTGGCTCATCAGGTGACCGGCAGACAGGCGAGCAAGGCAGAGGACAACCAGGGTGGAGCAGCCTTCCTCATCTCAGACATGGCATTGAGGAACATGCTATCATGACCTGACTATCCTTAAAGCTCTACCATCACTGCTCTAAAAATGACATTTCAATTTCAATATGTGTTTCCGAGGGGAACATTCGTATCACAGCAGAGAGCTTTGAGATAGAGAAATGGACATGACTTAAGTATGTAGAGATGCTTGTGGGCTTCTCAGCGGGGCCAGTCCTGATAAACTCATAATAAATGGAGAGCAGCATGAGTTGAAAGTGTATCTACCACACCTGACTTTCTGAACATCACAGCTCAGCAACAAACATGCAGTGCAGGGTCTGCTGTTCCCCCTGTGACTGCAGTGCTGTCGAGGAGCTGTGGCTACTGCTGCCACCAGACTTACAAAAAGTTATCTTACCCTTATTGGTGGCCCACACAAAGACTATAGTTCAAAATCTGTAATACAGTTCCCACTGAATGTGTCTTGCATTTGTATTCTCTCTATGAGAGAAAAAAATCTGAAAGTTGAACCATCCTGAATCATGGTATCCTATCTATCTATCTATCTATCTATCTATCTATCTATCTATCTAGCTATCTAACTAACACACACACACACACACACACACACACACACACACACACTTACCTTCCATGGAATTCCTAACAAATATTCGGGGCTTATGCAAGGCCTCACCACCCAGTCTTGTTCCTGGAGTAACCAGATTGCACTCATAACAATCCTTAGGCTACTCAGAGCAGCTGCCTTCGTGGGGTATCTGGTGTCTGTTAGGGGAGGGAAGGCAATAATTAGTTGCTCGTATCTACCTCACCTGGAAACCTATAATTCACACTGTCACGGAGCCAACACTACCTAATTGCACTGCTATGGAAACAGAGGAGGCACAACACAGAAGAGGAACCCTGGAGGTTCAGTGACTCTGGGCTGATTGCCTCCTCAGAAGCTGCTGAGATGACAGGAATGAGATGGGGTAGAGGCACCGTGACAAAGCTCCATGCCTTGTCACGCCTCTCACAGCAGAAAACTTCTTGTTCTGAGTTGTAACTTCTCCACAGTTGAGAAAAATTCCAGACATGAGCTATGCTTAAACATTCACACCATTAGAGGTGACCCAGATTGAAGAGGCAAATCCAGTGTGTGGGCTTCCGCATGTCGTACTGAAAGAGACTGCGACCTTGTCAACACTACTCATCTACTAAAGCTTTTCTAGAAAGGATTGGTTTAATTTTATTGAAAGAAAGGAGGGAAGGAGGGAAGGAAGGAAGAAAGGAAGGAAGGAAGGAAGGAACTCATTAATTCCTTTTGCATCTTTCTTTTTCAGCATTTAATACAAAATAGTCTCCAAGAACTCAGGCAAGATCATAATCATCATTATGAAGACCATTTATACTCAGAACCCCCTCAAGACACAGAAGAAGAGAATTACTATCAGACTCCCCGAAGCATCCTTTCAGAAGTGAGTGTCCACACCCACTCATCATTCACCCCCACCCACCCATCATTCATCTCTTCACCACGTCTGCCGAGCCTCTGCCACACACTGCTGCTGGGACCAATAGGCTGAGATCAGGAAGGCACAGAGGTGAAGCTGGCAGAGACCAATGGCTTGCTCATGATGCTGGCACCAGCCTAGGAGCGAGACACATACCTATAGGATGCCTGGGTAGTACTAGGGGTGGGAAGAGGAAGCTGGTTTCCAGGTCGAAGACCAGAGAAAGTTCTACAGAGGAGGTGACATTTGAGAACTCAGTAGATAACATTTGAAATTTAGTAGTCTTTCTGTTTCCTGGACTGAAAGGAAAAGGGTAACAGTCACTGGGTAATCAGCTGTGAGTGTGTGTGGAACAGCCTATTAATAACCAGATGCCCTTTGGGGTGCTAGACACTGCACTGTGCCCAGCATGGTGGCTCCAGTGACGAGTGGGCCTCATGGTCTCCACAGTTCAGAGCCCACAGTCTCCATCACCAAAGATAATGCCACACAAAGAGGCATGCAGTGGTCTAGGGTCATCAGACATAGGGCAGATTTTTCTCTTTCCACTTGAGTCAAAGCAGGCTTCAGGGACCCCTGGCATCTGCCATGTCTGATGAATTGCTCAGGTAGACAACACTGCAGAGTGTGTGAAGGAATGGCAGAGTAGAGAATTAAAAGGACAAAAGACAACCAGCCTGATGGAGGAAGGTCATTGGCCAATAAAGAAACTGCTTGGCCCTGTGGGTGGAGTAAACAGAACAAAATGCTGGGAGGAAGAGGAAGTGAGATCAGAGACGCGACAGCTCTCCTCTCAGGAGCAGACGCCTGAGAGAGACGCCATGCCCCGCTCCCAGCATGAAGCTCCGACCCAGGATGGACATAGGCTAGAATCTCCCCGGTAAGCGCACCTTGGGGTGCTACGCACAGATGATTAGAAATGGGCTAAATTAATATGTGAGAATTAGCCTAGAAGAGAATGGGCCAAGCAGTGATTAAAAGAATACAGTTTGTGTGTTGTTATTTCGGGGCATAAGCTAGCCAGGCAGGCGGCCGGGGTGCTGGGGACGCAGCCCTGCCGCCCTTATTACTACACCAGCCAGCCCGTGATGGGAGAACCAGCCAGCCTGTAACAGGAGAACCAGCCAGCCTGTGATGGGAGAACCAGCCAGCCCATGATGGGTACTGGATTTCAAGCCAACTTCACTCTGTGAGAAGCATAGAGACAAAGAAAGCTTCTAAGCAGGGAAGTGACAAAACACGGATTGACTTCCTGGAACATTGGCCAAGGAGTTATATGTACGTTAGCCACAGACAGAAAAGGTGGAATGAGGTGGTAGACAAAATTAGGGGAGCAGAGTAGCATCATCTCCAAAACTGGGGGGGGGTTTCTACCAGATGATGACATTATAATTTGAAGATGCATGCTGAGGTCAAGTTGTTTATAGAAATGCTAAGTCACAAGTGGTTTGAACAAGCTGTCCATCACAGTGAAGTTCTCAGAGCCCCTGGTACATAGTTCTGCATTGTAAGCAGCCAAGTGCATAACACAAGGCACGGCCCATGATTTCTTAAGCATAGAACACTTTCTTTCACCAAGAATACTTCTGCATTAGTGTTCTCTAGGGCAACCAACCAATCAGGTGTGTAGAAAGGAAGGCTGTAGACCCCTGTGAGATATGGTATCTGGGGAAGGAGATGAAGCTGTACAACAGCTGGCAGGCAGGCTGAGGTGATTCAGGAATATGGGGAAACAACAAAACTTCACCGGGCAGGAGAAGAAAACGGCATGCCTGGCAAAGAAGACCACACGAGCGTGAGGTCTGGAAGAGAGCCTTTGGTGAGGAGAGAGATGCACAGATGACTGGCTGACAGGAAGGCGATGCTCCACTTAGAAGTCAGTGGTGAACTAGAGAGGAAGAATCCGTGGATATGAAGAGAAGTCAGTGGTGAACTAGAGAGGAAGAATCCGTGGATATGAAGAGAAATCAGTGGATATGAACTAGAGGGGAAGACTCCGTGGATATGAAGAGAAGTCAGTGGATATGAACTAGAGGGGAAGAATCCGTGGATATGAAGAGAAGTCAGTGGTGAACTAGAGGGAAAGAATCCGTGGATATGAAGAGAAGTCAGTGGTGAACTAGAGGGAAAGAATCCGTGGATATGAAGAGAAGTCAGTGGATATGAACTAGAGGGGAAGAATCCGTGGATATGAAGAGAAGTCAGTGGATATGAACTAGAGGGGAAGAATCCGTGGATATGAAGAGAAGTCAGTGGTGAACTAGAGGGAAAGAATCCGTGGATATGAAGAGAAGTCAGTGGATATGAACTAGAGGGGAAGACTCCGTGGATATGAAGAGAAGTCAGTGGATATGAACTAGAGGGGAAGAATCCGTGGATATGAAGAGAAGTCAGTGGTGAATTAGATGGGAAGAATCTGTGGATATGAAGAGAAGTCAGTGGATATGAACTAGAGGGGAAGAATCCGTGGATATGAAGAGAAGTCAGTGGATATGAACTAGAGGGGAAGAATCCGTGGATATGAAGAGAAGTCAGTGGATATGAACTAGAGGGGAAGAATCCGTGGATATGAAGAGAAGTCAGTGGATATGAACTAGAGGGGAAGAATCGGTGGATATGAAGCAAGAATTACATCCAGTCTTTGGCCCAATCAGCTTCCGAGGTTCCATGATAGAATTAATTCCCTGGAGGAAAGGCTCCTGCAGTGAATGACTAGGAATGGGCAGACAGGAAAATCCAAAGCTTCTCAATAGAATGCATGTCTGGAATGGGACCCAAGAGTTCCCTGCCAGAAACTGTGGCTCCATCTCCCTTGGTTAAGGCCAGGTGATATTCTCTGAAGAGCGGCTGTCCTTGCGATGAAGATGTGTGATTCTATTTTAGAGTAGTGGGAGGTGAGGAGGTGCCTGGCCAGTGGCAGACATGTATCCTTACATCTTCTTTTCATGCCTTTAGTTGAAGAATATTGCTGACTCCAGCGATTCCGATGACTCCATTGAATCCAGTAGTCCAGACCAAGTTTTCAAGAAATCTGAGAGCAATTACATGTCAATGAGATCCTGGTGAGTGTAAATGCCTTCTAAGTACTGCTATTAACTAACCTTTTTTTTTTTTTTTTTGAGACAGGGTTTCTCTGTGGTTTTGGAGCCTGTCCTGGAACTAGCTCTTGTAGACCAGGCTGGTCTCGAACTCACAAAGATCCGCCTGCCTCTGCCTCCCAAGTGCTGGGATTAAAGGCGTGCGCTACCACTGCCCAGCATAGCTAACCTATTTTTAATAGAGCAATTACCACCAATTCAGTGTGTTAACCTTTGTGTGAGGATATATGCACATACATACATACATATATATGTATGTATGTGCATATATGGATAATGTGTGTGTGTATGGCATTGACATGAGCCATAAGGCACATGTAGAGCTCAGAGGGCAACCTTGGGTGTTGGTGTCCTCATCTTCTGCTTTGTTGGAATCATTCTCTTGTTGTTTGCCACTGCACATACCACATGAACTGGCCCGTGAACTTCCTAGGATTCCCCACATCCCATTTTGCCATGGAAGCACGGGGATTGGAGAAACGCTACCACGCCTGGCCTTCCATGGGCCCTAGAGAGCCTGCGGCCCTACTGTTTACAAGGCGAGCACTTTACCCACCCAGCTGTCTCTCTAGCCCCCAGTTCATTTTTGAACTGTTGAGAAATTGCTTCAAAGCATCACAAAGACTCCGCTCTGCACATTGATTGATTCAGGTCGATGTCCTTTATCTGAAATGCTTAGGATTATAAACATTTCTGGTTTCAGAATTATTTCTTTTTTCAGATTTTGGAATATCTGCATATCCATAATGAGATGTCTTGTGGAACAGAAGTCATCTAAACATAAAATACATGCACGATTCATATTTCCAAATGTACCTTATATACATAACCTGATGATAACCTTAGGCAAAAAGTGTTTGAAATTGACTTTGTTCATGAAAGACAGCGTGATGGTGTGGACTTACTCCACACGCGGCATCTGTATTGTCAGGTAGCATTTCAGGTTTCAGATGCTCAAGGGACGGGCGTTCAACCTGTGGACTTAAGAGAAAGGAATGTGGCGATGGTTTTCTCACCCACAGAAAGCCACCTGTGACATCAGGACACTTCTGTCTTGAGAAGTCTTCTGGGTTTTTCACAGAAAGCCGCCTGTGACATCAGGACACTTCTGTCTTGAGAAGTCTTCTGGGTTTTTGGATTTTATGTCTCTCATTCTCTCACCCTGTTCTCCCAACCCTGTAAAATGTTATTTCGATTCCAAGTCCATATTTAGAAAGAAAGCTTGTTCAGTTTGACTCTGCCTCTGGTGGGATTCTGATGGCTGAACGTGTTCCAAGGCTTTGTTAGTCTTCTTACGGCTGTTAGATGACAGGTAGAGTGGAAAGCTGCCACTGTGGGTGCTTAAACAGACCCTTGTTCAACTTCTTCTACTCCAGCTTCTTCAAACAATCGACCCCTGCATCTGCTGATGGCCAAGCTGAAACCCAGAGCTCTCCAGAAACTCCGGAGCAGGCAACTTCTCTGCAAGAACTCGGCACAGGGAGTTATCTGTATCTTTCACTTGCTGACCTGGAAGCACAGACCACAGAAGACAAAACGGGGTCCGCCTCCCTAACTGTTGTGAAATTGTCTATATTACTCAAGTAAAGCCCTGATTTCTAAAACTTTGTGGGCCCTAAGAACAAGACAGATGCCTTAAATGCACTCAATTTTATAAATTTCAAAGTAGTTCCTGAAAATTCCCAAGTCAGACAAGCATGGCAGGCTTACTCTGTGTGTCATTGAGGCTGTGACCCTTCTCTGGTGTTGTGACCATAGACAGTAAATGATAGAGTTGAAAGAAGAATGGTCCCCAGGGATGGGGGTGGCCCTCCCAACAGTTTTTCCCTTGGCTAGTCTTTCGGGCCCTAAAACCTGGACCTCGCTGATCCAGCATCAGCATGCATCACCAGCCTCCCGCACTAGCGTCATGTGGGCAGGCAAGCCTCCTGAGGTGCTGAGCAGATGAGAAGGGGAAAGTTTAGGTCCTAGGTGACATCAAGGGCACGTGACAAGATAGTTGCGATTTTTAGCTGTTTTCCATGCCCTCCTGTATGAAATAATTTCCAGAAAACAAACATGTAAATTGACTGGATGGAGATGGTTATAATCCCACTTGGTCCAGTTTTGCCTCCTTCTGCTGTCTGCCAACCACTACCACATGCCAGAGGGGCAGGAAGGATTAATGAATGTCTTTCCGTACCTTAAATTCCGATTTCTTTCTTGGTATGTTTTGGGCAAGCTTTAACTGGAAAATGTCATCTCAGAAGCAGAAGGCCAAAAATACACTCTGAAAGGATAGCTCAGAGCGAGGTTCCGTCGGCTGTTTGACGCCACTTACACAAATGTTTTCTGTCCCAGCAACGTGTCCGATGAGAGCCAAGTGGAGACTCTGAATGTGTTCCTCACTCCTCGAGATGCCATCGACTATCTTGCTCTTGTAGAAGCGGCGGGACGGATATGGTAGGTGGAGCTTTGAACAGACATCAGAGATGAAACAGCACCCTCATTCTGAACACTGCATCTGACAAAACCAACGGAGCACTAGGGCTGCTGTTGCCAGAGAGAGGGCTCTCCAGCAGAAAGATTATTGTTATATAGAAGGTCAGCTTTTGAGGGGGTCTAAGAGAACCAAAAAGCCCAGGACTCAGGATGTTTCTGATATCCTTCAAAGGAGAATGGATGGCAAGGGGCTGTTCCAGGCACCACGGGGTGAATATTTAAAGAAGGAAAGAAGAGAATGAGGTTATAAGATCGAAAAGAAAAAGATATATATGTGGGCCTAAGAGTCCCACACCCCATTCAAACTTCTATTCCAAAACACAAGCACAAAATTCTGTGTGGCAAATATTTTTTGTTTTGCCTTTTGAGACAGGGTTTCTTTGTAGCTTTGGGGCTTGTCCTGGAACTCACTCTGTAGATCAGGCTGGCCTCGAACTCACAGAAATCCTCCTGTCTCTGCCTCCCATAATTACTATTTATCTAATTCTACATCCTCTTAGACTGTGACTGGACATGTTGGCACAGGCCAGTAATCTTAGTTCCCTGGAATAGACCTCAAGGCCAACCTAAGCTTCATAGTAGATTTAAGGCCAGCTTTAGCTACATAATGAGACGCTCTCCCCTCCCCCATCTTAAAATAAATAAGCCAACATGTTTAATTCATTTTGGTGGAAGACTGAATTTTTACAAGGTAACTCTTTAATATAAATAAGATCCCATACTGCCACAACTTTCCATTTTTACAAAATTTTTGTAATTTAAGACTGCTCAGCCTATGGACTTGTCTGTGACCAAACTTACACATCCGTTCATTCATCCACTTATTAAATATTCACTGCAGCTCTGTGTGCTCAGTTCTGGCAGGTGTTTGTTGAGCATCCTGTTTTCTTAGAACTGTGCAGTTATCAATTTTTAAACACCAGCTAAGGAAACAGAAAGGGAGTTCTGTACTCCCAGGTCATAAAGCCAGATGAAAAGAAGAGGCCCGTGAGTCAGTAAATATAAAAAGTACATCTTATTCAGAACTACAGTTAAAGTATTCCCACCGTGCATAATTATAAATCCTGGGACAGGAGAGATTAACTACAAGCAAAACAAGGGACTGGACTTGGCAGGGCCTTATGAGGGTGATTAGCTTGGAGCAAAGCTTCTGAGGGAAGGGAGGCAGGGAGGAAGTTAGTCCAGACAGAAGGAGAGGGTTGGCTTCCAATATGGGGCAACTCGGCACAGAGTGAGGTAATCCCACAGGCCCCATTCCTGCCCCCACAAGGAGCCAATGAACTCTGCCTCACTTTCTTGTTGGATGCTGTGTTCCCACTGCAGTGTGGCTCAGTGGGAAGGCCCTCCCCGACTAGGGTGCATATTCTGCCATGGAGACCATATCTTGGCTGTCAATGACCTGAAGCCCCAGAACCTGGAGGAGGTTTCCCTGTTTCTTACCCGCTGTAACCAGAAGGAGGTGAGTCCTATGAACCAGACCAGGCCAGATCAAGTCAGGGCTGGGAAGAAGATCCAAATCTGGGAGGAAGTCTGGGAATGACTCAGAACATGAATGAAATTTTGTCTTTTGTTTCAAGTGCTACTGGGGAAAGCACTGGGCTAGGAGAGAGGGCTCGGGGCTTTTGATCTCAGGCACTGTAGGGTGCAGAAACAGCACCATGACTCAGACTAACTTGCAGACTGTAGATAGCCCCTTTAAGCAGTCTGTCTTGCCTTTCTGTAAAATTAGGGACAGTGATTGCAGCAGTTGTTGAAGAACAAAATGATATAGCATGCTAACATGTTCGCAATGTCCCAGACACAATTACTATGGCTTTGCCTCTACCTGCAGGGCCATGTGACATGGAGTGGCTCACTTTCCTGAATGTCAATTTTCTCATCTAATAACTCTCTGTATGGAGTTATTATTAAAAACCAAGATCATGTTACACACATGTAAATGGCATTCCTGGGTAGTATAGTTTTCATATTGTTCATCCTTCTAAGCCAAATTGATTTCTAGCCCCGTGACCTAGGGAAGGCCGCTGCCTTCTCTGTGTTTAGCTTCTTTACTCTAAAACAAGGAGCAGAGCAAGGACTCATTCCTCCCTATGGTTTCCAAACTGTGCTTCTTGGATCTCTGGACTGTGACTAGGGAGAAAGGAGAGGAAGGGCTCAACATGTGCTGCTTCTGTTAGGGACATTCACATTTGTCTTCTATTAAATAGATACATCTAAAATACTGGACCACACCTTTAACAGATAGATACATCTAAAACACTATATCATGCAGTTAACAGATAGATACATCTAAAATACTGGACCACACAGTTAACAGATAGATACATCTAAAATACTGGACCACACAGTTAACAGATAGATACATCTAAAATACTGGACCACACCTTTAACAGATAGATACATCTAAAACACTAGATCATGCAGTTAACAGATAGATACATCTAAAATACTGGACCACACAGTTAACAGATAGATACATCTAAAATACTGGACCACACAGTTAACAGATAGATACATCTAAAACACTGGACCACACCTTTAACAGATAGATACATCTAAAACACTAGATCATGCAGTTAACAGATAGATACATCTAAAATACTGGACCACACAGTTAACAGATAGATACATCTAAAACACTGGACCACACCTTTAACAGATAGATACATCTAAAACACTGGACCACACAGTTAACAGATAGATACATCTAAAACACTGGACCACACAGTTAACAGATAGATACATCTAAAATACTGGACCACACCTTTAACAGATAGATACATCTAAAACACTAGATCATGCAGTTAACAGATAGATACATCTAAAATACTGGACCACACAGTTAACAGATAGATACATCTAAAATACTGGACCACACCTTTAACAGATAGATACATCTAAAACACTAGATCATGCAGTTAACAGATAGATACATCTAGCACACTGGACCACACAGTTAACAGATAGATACATCTAAAACACCAGACAGTGCAGTTAACAGATAGATACATCTAAAACACTCGACCACACAGTTAACAGATAGATACATCTAAAACGCTGGGCCATGCAGTTAACATTCTTAGAAAGCATAGAACCTTGACTTGAAATTTCTATAAACAGCAACAGTAATGATCTATCTTCTGGCTCTGGGAGTCTGTGGTTATGTGTCATGCGTATTAAGGACTCAGCTTGTTTCTTCTCCATCATTCCATAAGCCTGACAGTTGGAGAAATTCTTATTGTATTATCTGAAAGGGTAAGGCCAGTCAGGCATGTGACTAAGGTAGACACAAAACTAGTTAGTGGCAGTGCCAGGGTTCATCATTCATCTGTTCCCTCGCTATTATTGAACATCTCCCTACTCTCTACTGGCTACTGCTGTGCTCTAGGGCTACAAAGGTGGTCTCAGCTTACACATAAGTAGCTCACAGATTAGCGGGTAAAGCAAGTATCGTCAGCTGTCTCAGAATACAGTGTGTGCTCTGGGATGTGAGCCGAAAGTGTTGGGGAGACTAGATGGGTCTTCTGAGGATACCCTCACAGCAGGCAGTGTTTGGCTTGAGTTCAATCCTTGATAGGAGTTTGCAGGGTAGATAAGAGGCTGGTTTGAGGGATCTAGCCCAATAGTCTGGCAACTTATAATTCATGGCTTCTGCCAAAGGTCCACCCTACAGCCAAAGGGTGAAGAAAACCATGTGCAACTTCTGGAAGTTACTATTATTTTGGCCCAAAGATCCATACATGTGCTCAGTAATCAAGAAAAGTGTTGTATTAGGCTGCTTGTTCATACCAGCCACCCAGAATTGAAATAATCACACAGATTATTATTTAAAACACTGTTTGGCCCATTAGCTCTAGCTTCTTATTAGCTAACTCTAACATCTGAATTTAACTCATTTCTATTAATCTGTGTATTATCACATGGCTTACCTACTAAAGTTCCTTCCGGCTCCAGCAGGACTACATGGCTTCTCTCTGACTCTGCCTCCTTTCTCCCAGCATTCTGTTTAGTTTTCCCCACCTAGCTCTGTTCCCCTATAGCTCTGCTATAGACCCAAAGCAGTTCCTTTATTTATCAGTGGAATCCCACATCAGAAAAAGGGTTGTGAGCAGACACACATCTAAATCTCCACCTGGGCGCTCACATATGCACCATCATGACTGCCCTTGTAGACCTCACCTCTCCTGTGCTCTTGCTGTCTTCTGCATGCATCTGAGAACAACTCCCAAGTAATACTGACCACTATCAACCCCCACCAACGTAGGTCTCAATCCCATCAAATGACCTTTTCACAGATAACCTACGTATTAGATATGTATATTACCATTCATAACAGTAGCTAAATTACAGTTATGAAGTAGCAATGACAATAATGTTATGGTTGGGGTCAGCACACATGAGGAACTGACTGTAGTAGAGGGCTGCATTAGAAAGGTTGAGAACCACCGGTCTAGAGGAGTAGAAAACTCTCCTCCCCACCACTCCTGACTTCTTTCTTTTATGTGAAAACAGATGGCCAGTCCTCTTTTAAAATGCAAATACTTGTTTCTGGAGAAGGGCATGTGGGAGCAAGGGCATCTCCTGGGTCTCGTGTCTGAGCCAATGTCATCCACCTTAGCCACAGTGCAGAGAAGAGGGAGGCTGGCAGAGAGAGGGGCTAGAGACAGTGAGAGGAAAGTGAGACAGCTTTTTAGAGGCAGAGGAGATGGTGTGTGTGTTTAGAGGGATAAGAAATGTGAGCTGCAAGAGAAACGTTCAATTTCCGTTTCCTTCTGCTTTTGGCTGGGGCTTTCCTGGATGGTGGTCTCCTTTGGACACACAGGGTTCTACAGGCCTTTTGAGCTACTGATCCTCTGTGGCTGTCTTAGTAAGATTTCTACTGCTGTGATAAAACACCACAGCCAAAACAACTGGGAAGGAAAGGGTTTGTTTCTCTTACACTTCCATCACAGCCCATCACCAAAGAAAGTTAGGGCAGGAACTGAATCGAGGCCATGGAGGAGTGCTGTTTACAAGGTTCCTTCCAACACCCTGCTTTCTTATAGCATCCAGGACCATCAGCCCTGGGACATCACTACCCACAGTGAGCATCAGTTATCAATCAAGAAAATGTGCTACAGACTTGTCCATAGGCCAGTCCCATGGGGGCATTTCCTAACTGAGGTTCCCTCTTCCAAAGTGACTCTAGTTTGTGTCAAGTTAACATAACACTAGCCAGCACAGTGGGTCATCAGCCCTTTCCGGAGCCAGCCTAGAGGCTTAGGCCTATGGATGTCAGAAAATCAAAGTCCGTGTTCCGCTTGAACATACAGATCACCTGCAACTGCCTTTGGCTCATCGTTCGATTTCTTTCAAAAACAGATTCAAGAGGTATGAAGGACAGGATCCTAAGGATACTCTCTGGTCATTTAATTATCTCCTATCTTGTGTCCTAGAAAGTGAAACTCTCCATTGGCCGGATCCCACATTCAGAGAAGTTCCATGCCCCCTCCTGTGCATGCCCCTTAAAATACCAACAGGGTTTGCCGGGGAAGGCACTGAAGAGGAGTCCAGCCATCAAAAAGACCCAGAAGGAATCAACTGGAGAATAATCTGCCTCGGGCCCATGGCAGCAGAAGAAGGATGGAGCCCTGGATCATCATGATCGGAGACAAGACAGAATCCTACTTGAGTCACTGTACTGTCCTAACAATGGGGGTCACTAGCCCCTCTGTGGCTGTTGCATTGAGGTCACATGGGGTAATGACTAAGGAACAGAGTTAGAATGGAAGACCTTATTATCTGAGACTTGGCATCAGACACGGCAGGCATCGATTGAGTAAATATGGTCTAATTAGTAGTACTGTGTGCTTTCTGAGGTCACAATTGCTTCTTTGTTAGGAATTAGAATTATTCATTCCAGGGAGGCAAGAGATGAAAGTCTGTAGCTGTCCTCGCAGACACTTCCTGTGACTCAGCAGCCCAGGGGCCGTCAGGCCAGGCAGAGTTACTGATGTTCTTACCAGGCTCAGTAGACCTGCTTTCTTAAAGATGTGGTAACTATTTTGGAAGCTAAGGAAGTTTGGTGCTGTATCCAGCCAAGAGCTGCTTGCTCCAAATGTAAACAGGAAACTATGTTTATATGTTCTTAATTGATTGGTTTATTAGCAAATTAGTCCTGTGAAGTCAAAGAACCAAAGGCCTTTTAATCAGGAAAGCAGGAGCCGGCAGCTGAAATCTAATCAGCTTGGGGAATGTCAGTACAGGGGGGCGGGCGGTCAAAGGACACATCTCAGTAGACTGTCCTTTCGCGTGGAAAATCGAAGGCTTTGAAAGCTCAGTGATATTCAGTCTTCATGACTCGGAGCTCAGTAGCTGTAAGGGCAGAACCAAGAATCTAACCCAGCTTTAGAAAGAAAATCCCCTGACTTCTGCCTTGTATGTGGGTTTAGATTAGTAAAGACCTTTGGCACACAGGAGAGACATTCAATGTATTTTATTTTCTGTTATCTAGATTGTTGCCAGTATAACATGTATATATGTGTACAAAATATATGAAATAAATAAATGTCTATACATAAATATTTCAAATCTCATAATTAAAAAAAAAAGAAGAAGAAGCCATTTCAGTGAGGAAATAAAGAACCGTTGAGGTAAAACTGCCTGAAGCCATCTGCGGGATGGATTCCTGGGCTCTGAAATCCAGCTGTCCTCTGAGGACCCAGGGGTCGATCATCCACCCAGCTTACAACAGCGCTGGGTGGGACAAGTAGACAGGACTGCAGGTACTTCCCAGTACACTGTCCACCCACCACCCTACCCCAACCCCAGAACTTACCTCCTGACACAGAATGGGGGGTGAGGACCACACTCTGGGTGCTTCTTGGCATCTGAATGGCACTTTCAAGGGCTTGGACTGAGGCACCCAGGTCTCTGTTGTACCATCCTAGGGGGTCAGTGGAGACCCTGACAGTCTACAGGAGAGCACAGAGCATGCGTTCATCCTAGGGGGTCAGTGGAGAGGTCCCCAGTCTACAGGACAGCACAGAGCATGTGCTCATCCTAAGGGTTCAGTGAAGAGGTCCCCCAGTCTGTAGGAGAGCACAGAGCATGTGCTCATCCTAGGGGTTCAGTGGAGAGGTCCCCCAGTCTGCAGGAGAACACAGAACATGCGTTCATCCTAGGAGGTCAGCGGAGAGCTCCCCCCCCTCAAGTCTGCAGGACAGCACAGAGCATGCATTCATCCTAGGGGTTCAGTGGAGAGTCCCCCCAGTCTGCAGGACAGCACAGAGCATCCCCTCTTTCAGGAAAGGATCTAGTTCTCCGTAGTGCTGAGAAAACAGACGGCCACCCACCTGCCTCTAACAGGAGCCTGAGGAGAGCATCTGGCTCCTCTCTGGCTTCCTCTTCTGTGAAGAGCAACTGAACCAGGGCCTGGAGGAAGCAGCCTCCTGACTGAGCCCAGGTATGTGCTGCTGGTGGCTGGAATGGACAGGGGAACCCATCCTATGCCATTTTCTGCGCTGCTCCTCAGAGCCCAGGTCCTCACATCCTCTGTGCCTCCCCTTCCCCAGAGCTGGAAACAACCACATGCTCCTAGCACTCAAGGTCACTTCTTTATCCTAAGAACAACAGTGACCACAAGGAGAACTCTAGACCTAGGAGGAGAGGTATCTGTCCTTTTCTGTAGTAATAAGGGCAGCGGGGCTGCGTTCCCAGCACCCCGGCCGCCTGCTCGGCTAGCTTATGCCCCAAAATAATTACACAGACACTGTATTCTTTTAATCACTGCTTGGCCCTTTAGCCCTAGCCCTTACTGACTAATCCTGTTATCCCGATCAACCCATCTCTAATAATCTGTGAGAACCGGTCTTACCGGGAAGATTCTAGCCTAGTCCATCCTGGGTCGGAGCTTCATGGCGCGTGTCTGCCCAGGAGCAGGGCATGGGGCATGGTGTCTCTCTCAGGCGTCTCCTCCCGAGAGAGCTGTGGAGTCTCTGAGCCAGGATGGGTTTAGAGATGGGTTGATCGGGATAACAGGATTAGCCAGTAAGGGCTAGGGCTAAAGGGCCAAGCAGTGATTAAAAGAATACAGTGTCTGTGTAATTATTTTGGGGCATAAGCTAGCTGGGCAGGCGGCTGGGGTGTTGGGGACGCAGCCCCGCCGCCGCCCTTACTACTACACTTTTCTGTCACCCAGGTGAGAATACAGCCAAGAATCAGCTAGAAGAAGGCCAGAAAAGCCATCAGGCCAGGCCTGACAAAGACAGTACCTTGTGGTCAAGTTGGCCAAAGAGAAGAGCACACTCCCTGCTACCAACAGATGCGAGCCCAGGAAGCCTCAGGGAAAAACCCATCTGTGATCTCCTTCATTGATGTCCATACTGACCACATTTCAAGTAAATGGCTGTGGCCTATGCTGCAAAGAAACTGGTCCAGCTGTTCTTAGGGAAGATAGCCCCTCCTGGATCTGCTTAGACAGTGAAGGAGAAAATAAGGATGGCTTCGAGCTGTTCTTGGCTGTCTCTTCTTTGTCCATGTCCCATCAACTTGACTTAGCTTAGAGTCGCATGAGAGGAGAGTCTCAATTGCGGGATTAGATTGGTCTAATGTGGGCGTGTCTTTAGGGGGACCGTCTTATTTTTTTCATTGATTTGGGAGGGCCCAGCCCACTGTGGGCAGCACTAGGGGACTGTCTTATTTGTTCATTGATGTGGGAGGGCCCAGCCCATTGTGGGCAGCACCATTCCCTAGGCAGCTGGTCCTGAGCTGTGTAAGAAAGCAGGAGCTTGTAAGTGAGCCAGCAAACAGTAGTTCCTCCATGGTTTCTGCCTTATGTTTCTGCCCAGGCTTTCTCCAATGATGAACTGTAAACTCCGTGCTAAAATAAATCCTCTCCTCCCTAAGTTGCTTCCGGTTGAAGTGTTTGATCACAGAGGCCCAAAGGGAAGTAGAGCTGGCCTCGGTCTGATGTGGCGGAGGAAGAAGTCAGAGCTCAGAAACAGGAAATGATTTACTGAGGGTACCCCAGCTCCATGCTGAACCCATATAGTTCCTCAACCCATACCTTCTCTACATTATGGCATTTCAGTGGGACTTTGTCTCTCAGCTTCCTACTGGGTGCCTTGGGTCTCCAGAACAGACTGCAGGGGTACCCAGAGGTTTTCATTTGGTTCTCTCTGCTGAGATGAAAAATATTCAGAAGGAATTCCAAATAACAGCTGGTTAGGAAGGAGAATGAGCGCGCAGGGCCAAGGCCACGACGCCACACTCAAGCTGTTGACATGTCTGCATTCCGGGAAGGTTTCTTTTCTGTGTGGAGAGCAGAGGACCACGTTTACATGTTTGTGTGTGGTATATGTGCACACGTGTGTGCCAGGGAGTGAAGACAGGTGGCTCTGTCACTAGTCTGCTCCTCCTCTTCAGGGTGTGTGCCAAGTGAGAAGAATAGAACGTGATAAACAGACCTCAAGGCTTTCGGACTCAGCTGGACCACATCAGGGTTCTTTTCTGACGTTGGACTAAGTAGCACATGTGTTTTCTTGGAAAAGCTCTCCAAAATGTTGAGTTAATGAAATCTTTGCCGAATGACCGACAGTCCCACGGGATCTTGGGGCCCTTTTCCAAATCACTTAGACTAGATGGTTCTGGAAAACTTGGCACTCACAGTGCTAGACCCTGGGACTGACTGACCTACCTGATATGGTAGCCACCAGCCAAATGTGCTGTTTGGCCTAAAATTAGTTAAAATTAAATACACCTAAAATTCCTTATCAAAGCACTAGCCACATTTGGGGTATTGATAACCTTTGATGGTAATTAACTACAATATTGGATAACACAGAAACAGACTTTTTCCACCATCATAGAAGGTTCTAGCAGATACTTTTCCCTATCTTATGTCCCAGGAGAAGAACAGTTACATCTTATTCACCCCCATATTCCCAGCCAATAAATACAGTGAGCGGCTTACAGCAAATGCTTGATAAACACATGCCAATGAAAGAAACCACTACAATTCATAGTAAGTATTAATTCATAAACATTATTCAATTTTGATATTTTAAAATAAAATATTAACATCCCTAACCCTGGTAACATTGGCTATTCTTTTTTCTTTTCTTTCTGTCTCTCTCTCTTCTTTCTTGCCTGGTATCATAGAATTAACTTGAAAGACCAGCTATAGGACTTTTCCATATAAGTTGTTTCCTCAACAGTTAGTAAGTTTATGTGGAGTTGGCAGCACACCTGGGAGCTGTTATACAAACAGGAAAGCAAACAGAGTGTCTACAACTCTCCAGCAAACTGCTGACCACAGTGAAGAGAAAGAGGAGTCTACATGATCTCGGTGCTAAGGTCATTTTCTTTTGAGGAGCACCAATGTATAAGTCTAGGTTTGGAGTTATGTTAATTATAGTTGCTCCAAATTTTGAGCATTTCCTGACATTCTTAGCTCCTCTTTGTTTAAGTGTGGACTTATAAAACAGATATCAGGGCTTGTTGCAACTGTACACATGCTAAGAATCAGCAGTGCATGGTGTCAGAGGTTTTTACATGGACATCAGTGTTTAATCCAGGGCATTATGGAATGTTGATTTGGGACTTGAGGGCAGGGTGATGGTAAGGTATTGTAATGTATTTGCCTCTTGGCCTCTTTTAAATGATAGGCGAGCGTTACAAGGAGAGAGCCCCCTGTTTGTCCCAGCTGCCTGGCTAACTTACACCCGGAATAACCACACAAAAACCGTATTAATTAAATTACTGCTTGTCCCATTAGCTCTAGTTTCTTATTGGCTAATTATTACATCTTAATTTAACCCATTTTTATTAATCTATATTGCCACGTGGCAGTGGCTTACTGGAGATTCTAACCGGCATCCATCTCAGGAGGAGGATCCATGGCTTTCCTCCTCTGCCCTTCTTCCTCCCAGCATTCAGTTCTGTTTTCTCCACCTACTTAAGTTCCGCCCTATCAACTAGACCAAGGCAGTTTCTTTATTCATTACCCAATGAAAGCAACACATGAACAGTAAAACCTCCTACACCAGACGAGAGTGCCAGAAATATGACTGGGAATAAAGCTATTCTTTAAAAACCAGAGGCCTACAAATTACCACACTGTGTGGTGACAGAGGCATTCAGAAAGGAAGGAGGCCACCGTAAACAGAGTGCTAATCATGACTCACACTGCTGCGTGCCTTCTGTATGCAGGGCAATCTCCACACACTCTCCCCAGTCCTACAATGGTTCTATGACGTCAAGACTGACTGCCTCAGAAGCACAGAGAAGGGAAGTAACTTACCTGCTTCAGGTATGACTGGCGAGAGCATGGCAGAGCTGGGATTCAAACCAGACACCCTGGATCTGGAGACCAGAGCCTGACTGTCCTCACTGGGAGACCCGTGGAAGAGAGGAAACATCGCTGAAGCAGATGGTACACAAAGGAGAGGGGCAGAGACAGAACAAACCTGCAGCGCACTTTCCAAGGCTTGCCTAGAGTGACTCAACATTTGGATGGGCCTCTT